CCAGCCAACACAGTTGGTGGTGAAGGCTTCTGGGAGTTGCAGTCCAAAACTCCTGAGTAAGCCAAGGTTAAGAACCAGTGGTATAGATCATCATGCTTGGCAAGTTTAATACAAAAATGTATTAATAGTCCTCTATTCTTTGTAGATATAGGGATGAATTGGGGGGAAATGGATAGATTGAGAGAATCTTTCTAGTCATTAGTTCATGAAGGACATTGGATATAAAGCTCACTGTGGTTAAACGATAGCTTATTGAATGCTTTCCCTCACAAAGAGAGGTGAGCAGTAGATATATATTCCGCCCTCTGCTATTGATAGTCTGTGCGTTAAAACAGATAGTATTGTTATTGTAGGTTTTTTTTTCAGAATATGGTCACTGAGCTGGTAAAATATGTCTATTTATTTATTTATTTATTTATTTATTTATTTATTTATTTACTTACTTACTTACTTACTTACTTACTTACTTACTTACTTACTTACTTACTTATTTATTTACTTACTTACTTACTTACTTACTTACTTACTTACTTACTTACTTACTTACTTACTTACTTACTTACTTACTTACTTACTTACTTACTTACTTACTTACTTACTTACTTACTTACTTACTTACTTACTTACTTACTTACTTACTTACTTACTTACTTACTTACTTACTTACTTACTTACTTACTTACTTACTTATTTATTTACTTACTTACTTACTTACTTACTTACTTACTTACTTACTTACTTACTTACTTACTTACAATATTTTTTAGCCACACCATTACCAGTGGCTTCTGGTAATGTCATTTGTCATTACTTCTGATTTTTTTCAACTACGTATGTATATTAGATTTAGCATATTGTATTTTGTGATCAAAAGGCAGAATATGCTTAATAGGTTTAATTTACAAGTCAAATTGTTGCATTATGTATGTATGAGGAAATCCTGCCCTAGTAGGGGAAATAGGTTAGTCATTCCCTTTAACATGTAGTTTGACCATGAATTGTGGTCTAGATTTTACAAAAACTTTGGCAGATAGATGGCAGGACCTTTATGATATCATGGAGTAGCCAGTTCATAGTGTTTCTATTATGTCTTTGGCTGTTCTCTGAAATATAGTTTAACTTATATAATTCAAACAACTTTTCCCTCTCTAGGCTTCTGCATCAAGTCAGTAAAGAACTCGCTGATTGCTATTTTCAGGATGGCTGTGCAGTGCTGGCTGCTTGTTGCCACTTAGCTGTTGAGAATATTGAGGTAAAGCATTTTAAAAATATTTTTGCTACGCAGAATATGTATAAATAAGCCGTATCCAAGATGTTGATCTCAGTGAATATAGACTAAAAACATATGGAAGATGTTCTGACAGCTTTAACAACATATTCAAAAAATAGTTGGAGATTTTTTTAAATTTCTGCTACTTTACCATATCAATACCAGGAATATCTAGACCCCTGAAGGTCAGCATGTTTAGTATATTGCAATGCTGTAAACTCCCAGTGTTCTGTACTTTTCTTTTTGTCTAGCATTATTGTAGTTTCTTTGCTTTTTAGAGTATCCTTCAGTCTGAAAAATAGCAAGTGTGACTAGCGAGTGTAGATGGAGAAAGAGCATAAAAAAGTCTGTGGCAGGAACCACACAATATAGAGGAAACACATATGTTACTGAAAGCCATTTCTTTCTCCTTTTCTTCTCTTGTAATATGTAAAGCTACAAGGCATATGATTAATTTTGCTGCACCTGCAAGCAATAGCCAATAAAGGTGGTGAAAAGAGCATAGCTCAAAGTCCAGGAATACAAGTTTAATGGAGAAATTCCTTTTTGGATACATTTTTATTTACTAGCTGTCTTGAAAGTGAAATGGCCCCCCAAATGCTACAAATCCATGTTAATCATTTCAAGAAATTACTGTTTTTGCGGGGAATCCCTACAATTCCATTTTCTTTAAAACTTCCTCTGACACAGATAAAGTGCCCAATTACATGTCAGTAGTTAAACTTCACCTGATGAGGAGCAATATGTTTCATTGCCATGTTTACTTTTGGTGGTGAACAAGCAGACCTAGCAAGAGCAGCCTAAAGGTAGCTTCTTACTTAGTTGGACCCAAACATGCAAGTGACTCTAAAACTTGCCCTTTGTCTTTGATGGTGAAGGAAATACAAAGTATGGTGATTTCTGCCAAGATTCTTAGGAAAAAAATGGGGTTTTTTCCCCCGTTGCTTTCCTCATCCTACCCTGAAGAAACAGTATTTGTCATATATAACTATATGTGTGTGTATGTTATAATGACTAGTTTAGTTGTCATCTATGCCTTTGTTTAAATACTAGTATAACACTACGGGTCTGAGGATGAGTGGAAGAAACTGGAAGGAGCATACACTCTGTCAATAGATCATGTATTTGGCCTTTTCCCTGTCTTAAAGTGTGGGGGATCCTACCTTAGGGGAGAGTAATCATTTAGAGGTCTGGTGAACACTACCTACTGTTTTGAAAACACCAAGAACTATCAAGTAACTTCGCTAAGCGAATCGCTTAGCGAATATCGCAAAGCGAAAAAACGCCATAGGGGCCATCGCTGAGCGAATGCTCCAGCGATGGCCCAGAGCCCCTCGTTAAGCGATTTCATCGCTCAGCAGGGCGCTCGTTAAGCGAGGCACCACTGTATATTTGTGTGTATGTTATAATGACTAGTTTAGTTGTCATCTATGCCTTTGTTTAAATATTAGTATAACACTACGGGTCTGAGGATAAGTGGAAGAAACTGGAAAGAGCATACACCCTGTCAATAGATCTTGTATTTGGCCTTTTCCCCATCTTAGGAGAGAGTAATCATTTAGAGATCTGGTGAACACTACCTACTGCTTTGAAAACACCAAGAACTATCAAGTAATCAACATTTCCAAGGTTCTTGAAAAGCAGAGCAGTCAGATCTCCTTAGATAAACAAGTGAGTCCTGTCATACATCTTGTAGCTTTACATGTTACATTGAAGACATAGGTGCAGGAAGTGAACATTCTTGCCTATCTTTGGTATTCAAGTGAGGGCAGAACATGAGTTACATTAAATTTGGACATTTATAAAGCTCACAACTGCTTTCCCTCATTGGTTGTGGTGTTTATTACACCATGACTGCTTTTCTTAAGAAAGTTGGATGAGTAATTAAATTTTCAGAAATCACCAGTAGCTTAGCTCTAGGTATCACTTTATTTAAAAAAAATACTTATAGTTCTTGTAGTTTGCTAGATAATGGACAAAATATGGTTTATTATGTGAAGCAAAGCAGGCAAAACATAACCACGACAGTGATCAGATTGTGGTTTATGACTGGTTGACTAAATAGTTAGCCAGCTGTGCAAACTGTTTTAGGAAACATAACCAGAACAATGTGGTACTCGGTGTGATATTTGCTCAGCCATGGAAACTCATTGAGGGTGTGGAACTGGTAAAACCACTCAAATATCTCACTTACCTTGAAACCCTTATTAGGTCACTGTAAGACATTTCCAGTTTGATGACACAACATAATACCCATATGAATAAGAAATTTGCTCACACATCACAACAAGCTAGATTTCAAGAAATCATGACATGGTTTGTTATGGACAAGCCCATCTGTCCCAACAAGCCATAGCTAGTAAACTAGCCACAAACCATAATCTGAACACATTATTTGTTGTTGGTTTACAAACTCTGGCTTGTTTAAGCTGTTGCTTGTCAGGATATCTGAACCTATCACAGGATTTGTCCCTGACTTATGTCCTGCACTGCCTACGCTGAAAGAAGAACAGGAGAGAAACATACCAGAAGGACTGCAGTGAAGACATGGTTTATGTGGTTTTCTACCATGCAGTTTTCAGCGCAGCAACAATATTAGAACTATATTAGAGTTAATATAGTTCTTGGCTTACCACAGTGTGCAAAGTTGCCCTTTGAGTCTGATTCAGTAATGTGTGTTTTTGTTGCATCTTAACAGTTTTGAAAATAAATGTCATCATGATGGTGTGAATAAACCCTTGGTGCTTGTGATGCTTAATGATATGATTTTCTTATTGAGCAAGCTTGCCATGGCAAACCTGATTCGTGGAAATGAACTGGAGTTGGCAGTCAGTGTGGGTACTGTCTTAGGAGAATGTGCAGCCCAAGCAACTCATTATGCACTAGAGTTACTAGCAAGAAAATGTATGACTGTAACAACATGGTAAGAATTTCTTCCTCCAAAGAATTTTCTCCCTAGCAAACCATAGACATTGTAATAGAGCATAGACATTTCAGACCTTCAAAGCTGGCTTTAAAGAACTTGGATTTTTTTCAAGCTAGAAGGCATAAATCAAGAGTTGAACATATGCTCCACTAGCATGTTAGACATGTTATGAACAAATGGCAGTATCCTTGGATCAGAGGGATACTGTATAGAATAAGCAGAAAGAATGTAAATAGCAATCTTTATTTGTTTGGAATCAATCCTTTCAATATTAGTGAAATAACAAGGAGTTTTAGTATGCAATGAGAGATTTTTAAAGAAGAGATTTCCAGGGTTTGTATTCCACTTGAAGTATATAAGGATCATGTCTGTGTGCTCTTATCTTTCTAGTGATTATGCTTTCTCAGTTCTAATTAGTACGATAACACAGAATACATTTAAGTCCTTTAAACCTGAATTAATATCTATCCACAACAATGCTTGATGGGTTAAGCGTGCTTCTAAAGAAAATGGTTGTGTGACTCCAAAAGCATGGAGCACCAGTGTGCACAAGGACAACTTGTGTTGAGTTTTTCCATGTAACGTCATTTAGAATTTGTACCATTTCTGTGGCTTAATTGTCAAGAATCAATGAGGAAAACATAAAGCTTGCACAAATTAAAAAGACCCCTTCTCAGTAGTATGTTATTCCATGCCATTCAAGAAGTTGGAAGGTCAGTTTCCCATGTGCATCCCCAAAGAGCCAGCCCACGTGGCCTTGGGCAAACTGAGGAAGCTCCCAGAAGAAGGGAAGAGTAGGCCACTTCTGAGCACTCTACATCTTGAAAAAGATTGTCATAAGTCAGAATTGACTTGACAGCAATCTTCTTCTCTCTTCTTTTCCCTGTCCTTCTCCCTGTTCTATCATATATGACCGTGGTGAGATCAGCATATAGCTAGTCTATATCTAGCCCAGTACTGTATTATCAATTCTATTAACAGCTCTCAAGAGTTTCAAGCCTGATTCTTTACAAGCTGCCATTTGAGATCCTTGGTATGGGCTTCCTGGTGGTTCCCCAGCCAAGAAATAATTGGACCCAACTCTGATTAGCTTTCAAAATTAGACACAATAGGGGTGTTCAGGATGGTATATGGTTGATTTTAATTCAGCTGTTGAATTCACTATAAAGTACTAATGCTGCCCACCAGTTTAGATTGCTTTAAAAGAGAATTAATCAGATTTTATGGATGGAGATGTTATTGTTTGACTCTTAGTTGTGATGCCTGTATATAGACAAGACCAGAGGACATGTGTGTTTGTTTACCAGTTCCTAGGGGAACATGAGCAGGAAGATGGCTAGTACGCTGATGGAGGAACAGAGTATTTGATTAAGTAGACCTTTCTTCTGATCCAGCATGTCTCCCACATTCTTATCTAATTGAAGACCATTTTCAGACTGTTCTGTCCAGCCAGTGTTTGTGCCATTGAAATGGGAGCTCATAGAATCATAGAATAAATGAGTTGGAAGGGGCCTATAAGGCCATCGAGTCCAACCCCCTGCTTAAAGCAGAAATCGGCAGGCTGATTTCCAACCCATTTGCCACCTGCCATTTCTTGTGACATATCCCACATTATTCCATAGAGTACTTCAACCCACAGAAACAAATGGAGGAGCATCAAGGAGGAGCATTTTCCTAAAATCCTTGAGAGGCTGACTTAGTATGGTGACACTAACTTTGTTTACCTCCCATTTTGATTATTGCAATGAGCTCTGAAGACACTGGAAACTTCAACTGATGCAAAATGCTGCAGCTGGATTGTTGATTGGGTTTGGTTACTGGGATTGCGTAACAACCCCTCCCCTTACAACAGTTTCACTGGCTGCTAGCTTATTTTTGAGTCGAATTCAAAGTCCTAGTCATAACTTTTAAAGGCTTTTACAGCTCAGATCCAGGCTATCTGAAACATATTGCCCTGTATGAGCCTGACAAATATTAAGATCCTCAGGGGAGTGGCATCTCTCAGTTACACAATTTTCACAAATGCATCTGGTGAGGACTTGAGAGAGGGCTTTTTCTGTGGCTGCTCCCAGATTATGAAACTCTTTTCCTCAGGAGGTGTAGATCTCCCGAGGAAAAGAGTTTCATAATGTAGGATTATCAAACCCTACCTCTTTAGCAAGCCTTTGGAGAGTTAGAAAGCAGTTGAGATGAGGATGTCTTCTAAAATCTGATTTACAGTTTTAAAATTGTTTTACAATATTTTTATATTATAGCTTAAAATCTTTTGTGTTATGTTTCTACTTGTGGATTTTAAATATTTTTGTTTGCCAGTTTGAGTCCCCACTAGAAGAGAAAGGCAGGTTAAAAATTAAATCAATCAATCAAATCAGTTCCCTCTCTTTTCTGATTAATCAAAGAGCCTTTTAGCAACAGAAGGAAACATATTAGAAACACTGGCCAAAATATAGTTGTTTAGTGTAGTATATCGCACTTGAGTAGGCCCATTGAATCAATGGCGATTTGGTAAGTCAACTCCTACATAAATTTTATTGATTCAAACGGACCTATTATAACTGTAACTTATTTTGTGAAGGAACACATTTTGCCAGCACTCACAGCTTTTGTCTTTGTTACCTTCTGTGTAAGAATACAATGGTTTTAGCAAGTTTGCTTCTGAACTGGAGACATTATGTACCTAGATATCTCTTAATGTGTTGAGAATATCATGATTTAGATCTGATGCATGCTTAGTTTTAATAGCATAGTTTTCTTCTCTTCGAAGATTCAGGACTTCCCTGACATATGAAACTTACAGTTGCAATTGCATGTTTTGTAGTAGAACCAATCAGTAGTCTTTGCATGGTGAAACTGATGTACTGGGGTAGGAAATTGTTTTTTTGTGTTTCTTTTCTACCTTATTTTTATCAAATGTTCTGCCTTGTATATGTTAATATTAAAATGCTGTTTGTTACAGTTTTGAAATATTTTTGTTTTAGCTTTCCATCACTTGGATACAGGTACTTTCCTTTTCCTAGAGGAAGAGTTTCTCATCAGTCCTCTGCAAACATGTTCTTTGTAGTTAGAATAAAAATAAAATTTTGGGCACTGTGCTGGCTTTTTTAATAGAACAGAATATTTTTATGACAAAAAGCCTTAAAAGGATATTTTAAAATGAATGGTGCAGATTACTCAAGCTCTGATACCAAAGAGGAATAAGGCATAGCATTTCCTATCACAGTTAACCTGTGCCTCCGTGAAGGATGAAGCCTGCAGTCTGATAGCTTGATTCTGAAAATTTCCTTACTCAGATGTAAATCCTTAGGTAGAGATGTAATGGCTGTATCATTCCAAAATCTAATTATTATGATAGACTTGGAGCAGTGCTAACTTCACAATATAGCATTGGTACAAAACATTTAGGTTCAGATAACCAGGACAAAAAGGAGCCTTTTCGCATCCAGTTTTTAAAGTTTCCTGCTCTCTTACCTGAAGGATCCCAGGTTTTAAATGAACATTTATTTATGGGTATGCCATGTGCACAAAATAGTGGGTATGCTTGGCGGTTGTTCATAAGAGCATTGGTGCAGAATAGCCTTTTGTAAACAAACTTCTAGTTTGTAATATATTACATGTGAGGACCACTGCCCAATACACAAAGCTGTTACTATTTATAACCCTTAGGTTCTTTCTGTATGTTTGGCTCTGATGTGAATATATAGGACTTCCTCATTCAATACTCTGTAGTGGAATAAAATAGGTCTATGTGGGCATTCCCATTATGTGTGTGCATACATCTTCCCTAATACTTAATGCTGAAAGATGAATTTATTCAGACTGCAGCGCTTTAAATCAACTTTGCTAACAAGTTGTTATGCTCAAGTAGTCTAGGCTCACTTATGTGCAGCACCTACAATGGATTAAAACAGTTTGTTAGTAACAGCATTTTGGGAAACACAAGGTAAATGGCTTCAGAGCTACGAAGACTTATTTTACACGTAGTATAAAAAGCTACCTTGGTAATCATTGAAATAATTCATCAGTACTTGCTTTCAAGAAAAATCCAATAAAAAGTGTGCTTCCAATCTTGAATGGTGAATCTACTAGAGTTAATTTTGTTTTGTTTTTTTAAAAAAACTGCTGTTTATGATAATCACAGCAAAGCACATCGAACTACATAAGAGTACTTATTCCTTTAGCTACTATTCTGTGGTATGAGCAATATGACAGTGGTTCAGTTCAGACCAGAATTCACATCTGGGCAATATTTTCCTTAGGACCAACCAAAATTTGTAAATTTTAAGTTAAATAAAGTAATCAGTAAGTCTTGGGCTTGCACTTTCCTCTTCTTCTGTATATCAAAAAGGAGGGGGAAAACACTAGAACAAACTATGTTCTAACTAAAGTGAGGGAACTGTGAGTTGTTCTAATCAACCCTAGTTAAAACTGGTCAAAGCAGGATCAAATTATAGTTTTAGATTTTTGATTAGCTAACTAATTTTCAATATACCAGCAACAGTTAACCAACTGCGTCCACACAGATATAGCATGGAACTGTAATTTCTTCCAAAATGGAAGGTTTCATTTTCCTATCTTGTTTGTAGGTAGGAATATATGTGAACCCAAGATTCATAGTGCCACATTTCTGATCCTGCAAACTAGTTTAGGTCAGGAATAAATACCCTGTTGTCATTCAGATATTGTTGGACTCCCAAATCCTAGCACCTTGCCCACTAACCATGGTGGTTGAGACTTTGGGGAACTGGAGCCCATCATTGTCTGGAGGACTGACTGTAAGTTCCCAACTCTTGTTTAGATAATAATTTGAATTGGTCTATAGATGAGAGACAACCGCATTAAAGCTCTCTTTTTCACTACTCAATACTTATCCATGTTGCCATTTTCTCTCAGAACTATCCAATCCATCTGTGTTTTTTCACCTTACTTATAGCATTAATCAGATCCAAAACATGCATTCTTAATTCTGGCCTTGTTTCTCCACTTCTATAAATGACTAAATGATTGTGAGCTGTTCTTCTTTTACAGGGATTTAGCAGCTGATCTTCTCATGATGATTCCCAGTAATGAACTGCTATTAGTAAAGCTTTGTGCTTTCTATCCTGGTTGCACAACAGAGATAAATGACCTTCATGAAAAGGTATGCTTGAGAGGCCAGTGGTCTCTTAACCATTTATGTAGCAGAAGAGGTTTTATATTTATCTTTTATATTTACCTATTTATATTTTATATTTACCAAGACCAGGAACACCTTGCCTTTCTTTAGCACCCTCCCCATTCACTCAAAAACCTGCTCTGGAGGATTCAGGTCCACTAGAATAAGGATTCAGGTCTCCTTGCCCTACTCCTGCTGCAGCCTTCTGTGGCTGCAGCAGGAGTGGGCCAGGGAGAAGAAGCTCCTATTTTGGTTGGTGTTGGATACATTAGTACAGTAGGACCCTCATATCCACAAGGGATTGGTTCCAAGCCCTCCCTTTTGCAGATGTATGAACCTGAGGATAGTCTATCTATGAGAGTAAGAGGCAAAGGGGAAAGGGGAAAGGTGAGGAGGTAAGTGGGCTTGCTGCAGAGTCAGCATCAGCTGTTTCAGCTGTAGCCCAACCTGCACTGTGCATAAAAGTATACTACAGTGCATACACTGTGCACTGTTCTGTACTTGTGCACAGTGCAGGTTGGGTTACAGCTGAAACAGCTGAGGCTGGCTCCGCAGATACAGAGGTCCTACTGTACACAGATCTTGCCATTAGAGTTAAAATATATTAATATAGCATGTAAGGAAGGCTTACTTAAATCTTTCCACTTGCAGGCCAAACTTTTCCTGCAGCTATTTCTCCCCCAATTCTGTCCCACATGAGATATGAAAAAATGTATGACAACCACTGGTACATAAGGTGAATTCTGCAGAAAACAACCGATGTTTAGTGGGCATCACCCATTACCAGGCCACATGCATTTACATACATGCAAAAAACCCAAAACAAAACAAACAATGCCTCCTCATTTGCTCCATATTTAATGCGGCATTTGGTGTAACTCCTGGATACATTTACAACATTCTTATTGGTGCCAGGTGGTGCCAGCTATCCTTTCATTCAGTCCCTGTTTTTAATGTTTGCTAGTAAAGCCTGTGGAGAAGCAAAGTTTTAGCATTGTTAAAATGTATCGCTAACATAAAAATTAGAATGTAATTTTCTTTCTCTTGTTTACAATGAGGTATGACTTCTTTAAACACATTTTAAATTAAAAATACACTTCTTTTTAAATTAGAAATACATTTTAATAATATTTCATTACTGACTCTTCATAGTTCACTATATATAAAGGAACAAACAGATATCTCCCACTGGGATTTCCAATAATTTTGTTCTTGTAGAAGAGAATGGAAAATTTTTATATAAATAAGTGAAGCTTGGTATGCACAACTGAGCTCTCAACCTATGGCCTTATTACAGTTTTAAGATAATTACATCACCAGAAAAAGTAGATTTATACTCTCAAAATAAAGGGATTACTGTTCCCTGATGCAAGTGATAATATATATTTAGTTTTGTGCAGCTAAATATATATTAGGTGAGCATAGTCTGGTTATATGTGTGCAGAGTAGTATAAAGCCCTCTTTTTTCTGTCTTTTCTTCAGCTCAAGTGCATAGGCACATGATGTAGCCAATGAAAGAGGGATGTACACAGAATGAAAACTTGGTGTGAATGCCTCACACTGCTGCTATTTAATATTTAGTTCTCCCATGAGGGACGTGGTGGCGCTGTAGGCTAAACCGCAGAAGCCTGTGCTGCAGGGTCAGAAGACCAAGCAGTCGTAAGATCGAATCCACGCGACGGAGTGAGCGCCCGTCGCTTGTCCCAGCTCCCGCCAACCTAGCGGTTCGAAAGCATGCAAATGCGAGTAGATTAATAGGGACCACCTCAGTGGGAAGGTAACAGCGTTCCGTGTCTAAGTCACACTGGCCATGTGACCACGGAAGATTGTCTTCGGACAAAACGCTGGCTCTATGGCTTGGAAACGGGGAGGAGCACCGCCCCCTAGAGTCGAACACGACTGGACAAAAATTGTCAAGGGGAACGAACCTTTACCTTACCTCTCCCTACATACATGTCAAGGGGAACCTTTACCTTACCTCTCCCTACATACGCAGTGCAGGTTTTAAAACTGATCCGGATATCTATGACACCATAGACTAAACATAAGAAATGCACATGTCTGTTCTTTTTCAGTAATGAACATTTGCACTTCTTGCATTATGCATTCAAGCTCTTGAGTAACAACAACAAAAAAAATCAGACTTCTCCATGCTCACTCCAAACTTTTGACCGTAAGGACCACACCAGATATTTTCAACATTTTTGAAGGCCGAAGGAACAGGAATGTGTGTGCACGCACATGTGTACTGGTGGCCACTTGCTTGGCCGCTGCATGGACACTTGCATGCATACACACCTGTCCATCCCCCCCACAAGAATATACACATGAACCCGCTTGCATGCACCACCCACCCACCCCATACCCACACAGATGCATGGGCGCATGCACGCACACACACACACACACACACACACACACACATGCCCCCACATGCGCACATGGGCTGAAGAGAACAGGCCGGATAAAATGGCAAGGCATGCCAGATGTGGCCCATGGGCTATAGTTGATCAACTCCATTGGGAAACGCTGATTCTGCCCCTTCTCATACAAATAACTTCATAAATGCTGTTACTTGTTCCTTTTTATGTTTTACTTTTCAGTGCAGCCTACCAGATGTAGAAGAATGTATGCAATTAGCAGAAAGAGCTCAAACAGAAGAAAATATTTTTGAATCAATAAAATATTATTTGCTAACTATAGAACCAGAAAAAGCACTTCCTATAGGAATTCAGTATGTCAAAGGTACAATCTAAATTATAAATATATACTTCCTCCTTCATTGTTTCATCCTTCACTGTGTTTATTTGTCCTTTCTCATTAAATTCCACAGAACAAATCAACAGGTCAGATTGGACCCTGGACTCAGTCTGCCCATTTCTTGATCTTTTAAGCTATATACGTACAGAAAAATTGCTGCTTCATAAATGTAGTGAGTAAGTATGTTTTTTTGACATGTAGGAAAATAGAATCTTAGCTTTTTTGTTAATATTCTATTCTGTTTGCATACCTTCAGTAGTTACTAATTCTTATATTGCTTCAGAATAATAAAACTGAATATAAATAAAAATGTGACAGGATGAACACAGTGCAGCTTTAAATAAAAATATTTAAAATGCAAATGAAAAACAACTTATTTTCTTTACAGAAGTAGCAGTTGACTAGTGCAGTATTTTATTTTGTTGATCAGATCTTCACGAAACTAATAGAATCGACCACTAAAACAGTTTTTTTCTACAGTTTCCAAGTGTTATTAAAACTGCACATTTTAGAAATACCAAATTGATACATTCTATTTTGCTGACTATAAAATAGTGGAAATATCTTTTGTGATCTGATAATGCTAACCCCTCTTTGACCAGTTTGAAGTTACCAGTTCTGGTTTTTTTGATTTTTTTAAAAGAAAATATTTTAGCACTGTTCTTCCGTATATATCTTTATCTGTCTTCTGAAGGAAACACTTTCTGGTTACTGAGTTTGAGAGATATATTTGAAAAGCTGGCTGTTATTCTCTGTATGTATGAGTGATGTTTTTGCACAGTAATAATGGGAACAAATTTTTATCAATACCGTTTCCTATCTATTTTCAGATTTAGAAATGAGTTGTTAATATTATGTGGCTATATTGGTGCTTTACTGGCTATTAGAAGACAGTACAGTAGCATTGTACCAGCACTTTATGAATACACAAGGTAATAAGTCTTTATTAATACAACAGCTTTATCCTGACGTTTGCTAGATGTCTATTTTCCTCTGTGGATGAAGTAACTAGTTAATTACAAATAACTAGTTACTGGCAATAAATGCCTTCAATAATGCAGGTACAACTAAGGTCTGTCATGATTATAAGTTGATGAGAGTTTCACTCTTTTTTGTAGTGATACTGTAATGGGTTCAGTTGCTTTTATAGTCATGGGGTGTGGCCTCACTAAATGATGGTTGAGGAATATCACATGATTAAACAATGACTTGTGTTGTGCCTTGGGCTCTGTTGTTGGCACTGAAATACCAATCAGGTAAGCAGAAGCTGACTAGAGCAGCTTGTAATTTTAGATTTAAAAAAAAAGAACTGAAAGGTTACTATTTTTATTACTGTGGAAGAATGTGAAAGCAAAGAGATACTTTTAAAAATTTCAAGTGTAATGTTAGTGAACTATTTTCCAAAGTTCTACGACTATAAGGATAACAAATTACTTCTTAAAAATAATGTCCAAAATACACATTAAAATTTTATTTTATTTATTTACCTGCTTTCTAGCTGGCTGGATAGCTTAGTGGATTAGGTATCTAGTTTAAGAACCAGAGGTTAGGAGTTCAATTCCCCACTGCGAATAGAGCCAGCCTGCAACCTGGCAGCTACAGAGGTTAGGAGTTCTATTCCCCACTGTGAATAGAGCCAGCCTGCAACCTGGCAGCTGCACAATCCTAGGACACCCCCAGAAAAAGGGAGTGGTAAACCACTTCTTAGTACAGTGGTGCCTCGCAAGACGGGTGCTCCTTTTAACGATGAATCCGCATTACGACGAGGGTTGTAAGCGATTGAGTTTAACGACGAATCCGCATTATGACGAGGGTTGTGCAATCGCAGAAGCGATTGAAAAACGATGTTTTGAATGGGGAAATTTCACTGCGCGATGATCGGTTCCCTGTTTCGGGAACCGATTTTCGCTTCCCGACGATCAAAACAGCTGATCGTCAGGTTTTCAGAATGGCCACCAGGTGCTCAAAATGGCTCCCTGCTGTGTTTAGGAGCCATTTTTCGCTGCACAGGCACCCAAAAATGGCCACCCCTGTGGAGGATCTTTGCTGGACGGTGAATTCTTAGCCAATTGGAACGCATTAACCAGGTTTAATGCGTTTCAATGGCTTTTTAATTTTCGCTGTACGATATTTTCATTCTACAGCGATTTCTCTGGAACGAATTAATGTCATAATGCGAGGCATCACTGTATTCTCTACTTGTTCCCTTAAGTCAGAATTGACTTGGTGGGACATGATTGTTATTATTTAAATACTTTCTATCCCTCTGTTTTAGGTTCCAAGGCACCCTAGGGCTCCGTTTTGCCCTGGAGAGGGCTTCGGGAGTCTCAGCACAGGAGTGGGAGCCTGTAATTGCTCGTAATCACTGGGATCAGGACTGCAGCCAATAGTCTGGCAGGGATTTGGAATACCCAGTGTGGTATATTGGGTAGAATAATGGACTAAGACTCAGGAGACCTAGGTTCAATTCCCCAGCTCTATCTTGATATTTATGGGATCAGGACTGCAGCCAATAGTCTGGCAGGGATTTGGAATACCCAGTATTGGGTAGAATAATGGACTAAGACTCAGGAGACCTAGGTTCAATTCCCCAGGTCTATCATGATAGCTCATTGGGGGAGGGGTTGGTGTGAGAGAAAGGCAGTGGGAGAAGGAGAGAGTGAGCCGTCCCCTCAGCCATCTGAGGGGAATCAATTGGAAAGAAAGGAAGGAATGAGAGATGAAATAAAGGAAGTAGTAAATGTGGAAAGGGCTATAGGGAAAGAAGAGCCAGGAGTGTGCGCGGAGGGAGAAGAGGGAGAGCACGCAGAAAAAGGGAAAGCGGAGCAAGAGGAAGCGCGAGACAACAGAGACGTTGAGAGCGTTAGAGTTAATGGATGGGAGAAGAGAGCAGTCATCAAGAAGGAAAATAGATATCTTCCTGACTACTGAGGTTAATGACAAATCAACAGAAACTGAGAAAGTGACAGTATATGAAGAGAACTGGAATGAGAAAAGGGTTGAGGATCCAAAAGTATTTGCTATACCCAGAAAACGGTGAGGAGAAGTTAGAGAAAGAAGTGTATGAAGGTCTCATGAGAGAGAGGGAATAAAACCTATCATTAAAGGTATGATGCCTGAAGAATGGATGGTGCTAGTATATCCCAAGGGTGCGGGACCAGTGAAGTACGTCCATCATCCCAGACTTTCAGCTCTGAGCGAGAAACCTCCCGAGGGAGAATGGTCCCGTCACCTGTGCTGCGGGACCATTTGTCCAGTGCGCAGACGGTGTCTGAGAGATCCAACCGGCCAAGAGAGGTTTGGGAAAACTTATCAATGAAAGAAGAAAGTAATGAAAAACCTCTAATGTTGTTTTGGGACTGTTCTCCCTTCTCAGTTGTCATTGAATGAAACCTTTGAGTTAAATAAAGAAGAAACGAATAGTTATATTAATAATAGTTGTTTTTTTGATACTCCCATTTTGTCATTTCAATTGGCAGAAGAGGAACTGCCCAAGATTATAAATGAACCCCATTATAGTGGTAAAACCACTCCTTAAGTACCTCACTTACCTTGAAAATCCTGTTAGGGTCACTATGTCAGTTGTGACTTGATGGCACATAATGGCAAAGTGTACCATCATCACTGTCCCAAGGGTCCAAAGGCATCCCCAGGGCAAAAGGGAGTCATAGGAAGTCTATGGGATAGGAAGCATTTACTTAATTTGAATTATATTTTATTGCCTGAAGCTGATGATGTGGTCAGCTTCTGCTTCATGAAGTTACATGGATTTTGGCTTCTTCCTCACAGTTGCTATCTTTATTTATTAGGTCTCTACAAAAATGACTCCGCTGTCAGTCGTACGATGCTCAACAGCATTCAATAAATAACACTTGTACTTGAAGCTTGCGCTATTTCATAAATACCACTCAAAAAACAAGGCAAGCTAATTTGCAAATTGTGAAAGGTGTTTAAAGCTCATAGAATCAGACAGTTGTAAGGAATTTAATTAAGGAAATTCCATAATTCCCTGTCATAATGATGGATAATCAGTTACATGATAGCTGAAATGCTATTGATGTAACTAGACCTGTGGAAAACTGATGACCTCAACAGAAAGAGCAACTTTCAGAAATTAAATATATCCTACTGCTGTCCCACAGCTCCCATGATTCCTGTGCTATCCCTTTCATCATGTGGAAGCCATGGGAGCCACAAAACAGGAGAAGGAAATCTTTAACTACTGAAGATTGCCAGCAATCAAACAGATATGAGGTTTCCACACCTTAGATTTTGTGTTCTCATTGGAGCGGAAGGATATTACTGTAAAGTGAATTTAGGAGATTTTTCTTTGACCCTGGAACTCATAATATCTTTCCTAGTGTGTTTTAATTCTCCTGAACTTTGTCACTCTTTGTGGGCAGGGAAGCAATTAGAAACCATTTCAGGAGATGTGTCCAAATCACTGTTTAGTTGTGTTTCCTTGGAATGATTTCCATTGTTGCAGCAGGTGTTTTGCACTCTTTTCTAACGAAATCTCCCGAGTTGACTCCTGAGATCTGTCTGATTACCTTTTTTAGCTGCTACTTCGGTTGTGTGATTGGCTTATTGATTGATTGATTGATTGATTGATTGATTGATTGATTGATTGATTGATTGATTGATACTTCGGTTGTGTGATTGGCTTATTGATTGATTGATTGATTGATTGATTGATTGATTGATTGATTGATTGATTGATTGATTGATTGATTGATTGATTTGATTTTTATACCACACATCTGGCAGCCAAGGTCACTGTGGGGAGTTTACAATAATTAAAGAACAACAATAGCATAATGACAGGGAACTCGACAACATCCATTAAAATATAAAAAAGTACAAAACAAATTACAATAAAAATACATGGCAGAACATAATAAAATAAAGTGAGATTGGTTGCCATGTAGCATTTCCATCTAGCTTCAAGTTTGAATATAGCTACAAAACTGCCTTGATCTGTCTTATAGATGACCACTGCTAGAAGTATAGATTGAACAATGCCCTGCTAATATTGTAGTTCTGATATGATTGACCAGGATACGTTTCAGGATGTGTGTGAGAGAGGATATTGCACTCTGGTGATTCTGCTCCTATCTGAATCATCATTTCCAAGAAGTGGTGCTATAGGACTGTGCCTAGTCCCATAGTGTTACCTACCTACCTACAAGATCCAACTCTCATTTTCCAGTCTTATGAAAACAAGAACACAAATTATTACTGGATAGACACATGGTTGTTCCTTCGCACCAAGGCCTATTGATTTTGATAAGTGAAAATATTTCCCCACCCACTTTTGCTGCTGTTATGTATGCAACACATTAATAGCATAGGCATCCTTCAGTCTCGAGAGACCGTGGTAACATGCTCTGAATCGAGAAGTATTCTCTCCAGAGCATGAAGCCTGGGTAAAGTAATATGGAGGATAGGCTGTTACCCAAGCAGCAGATCCCCCCTCTCAACGTTGCCGAAATGTTCCAATGGAAAGGCAAGAGCCAATACAACTGGTTCCAGCAACGTCGCAGGACTTGGCAGAACAACACGAAATGCCTTCGGGACTCCAGCTCTGGATTTTGCCTCTAGGTTAACTTCTGAAGCCTTTTCCATCAGTGGATGTAGCCACAAGGCAGTGGAGGTTTGAAATCGGAGTTTTCCTTCTCCTAGATGGGCTGCCTCGTTAATAATAAATTTACATAATGAAGATATCCATGAATCACTATCAATAACTGTAATCAATAAACAAAGTTACTGTATATTTAAAAGACTTTGAAGTGTGGACCTGAGTCTTCATCTTCCTGAAGTAATGGTGACCTAGTGTGAATAGGTAAAGGTAAAGGTTGCCCTTGACAATTTTTGTCCAGTCGTGTTCAACTCTAGGGGGCGGTGCTCATCCCCGTTTCCAAGCCATAGAGCCAACGTTTGTTCAAAGACAGTTTCCGTGGTCACATGGCCAGTGTGACTTAGACACAGAACGCTGTTACCTTACCACTGAGATGGTTCCTATTAATCTACTCGCATTTGCATGCTTTCGAACCGCGAGGTTGGCGGGAGCTGGGACAAGCGACGGGCGCTCACTCCGTCGCATGGATTCGATCTTACGACTGCTTGGTCTTCTGACCCTGCAGCACAAGCTTCTGCGGTTTAGCCCACAGCGCCACCACATCCCTCATGGGAAAACTAAATACTAAATAGCAGCAGTGTGAGGCATTCACATCATTTGTTCATTCGGTGTAGATTCCTCTTTCATTGGCTACATCATGTGCCTATACACGTGGATTCGATCTTACAGCTGAAGATCTACAGACCTTACAGCACAGAGGCTTCTGCGGTTTAACCCGCAGCATCACCACGTTCCCCACCTAGTGGGAATGGAGGGAGGGGCAAATGAAGGATCATGGTTGGGTTTCTTTTGTTCTTATGTTCTATATAAATTGTTTTTGCATACAAATTCTGTTTTTGCCAACACAGCGCCTTCAAGATGAGATAAGAAACAGTACATTCCACTTGTGCTCAGTTTTCAAGCTTATTTGGGGAATAGTTATGGATTCAGTCCCCTTCAAAAAACAAAATGTAGAACTGGAATTTGTGTCATATGCTTTCAAAAGTTGTCACACTGCATTCTTTTCCAGCCAGCTTTTAAAAAGACGAGAAGTGTGTGTACCCCTGAAAATTGAACAACTCTCTGAGGAACTGGATGCTTGGAGAGCTTGTACTCAGACACTAACCAAGTAGGTGTGCAATGACCATAATAGAATTTTAGTTGCTTTTAATTTGTGGGTGTTTTTTTTTTACCTTTAGTAAAAAGATGAATTTATCAGGACTTCTTTGCAGTTTTACAATGCTGTCTTTTACAATAATTTTTAGTCAGTGTACTGTGAAACTAGAGTTCCGTTACAACTTACAATATGTATTTCTTTCATAGATCTACTGATGAATGTCCACATACACCTCCATCTGAATTACAGAAAAATATTTATGCAACACTGCTATCACGTATAAAAGAAGAACCTCTGAAAGTAACAATAGGGCCAGATTATGTTACTGGATCTAATCTTCCTAGTCACTCAGATGTTCGTATCTCTTGCTTAACAGGATTAAGGATACAGGTATTGCCTGCTGGTAATGTATGGACTGCACTGCATAAAACTTTTGCAGATATCCCCACTTTCAACATTATTGGTGATATTATTGTATTCAGCGTATTCAACGTATTCAACAGCCTTTATATTGTGAGCTTGAAAGATAATGCAGAACATAATAATTTTAGCATGGAGCCACAAGAAAAAACAGCTTTGCAATGGTGTGCCAATGGACAGGATAATGATATGCACAGCCTACTCACTTGTTTAGTGGTAAACAAGGAGCTCTTGTAAAAACAAAAGAGAAACCAGAAGTCTTATAGCACCTGTAAGACTAACTAGTTTTTATTTTTCATAAGCTTTCATGTGCCCAAGCACGCTTTTTCAAATGAATAGAGTAGCTGTGTCTTATGGGGGAGTTTACAACTGTTGGCAGGACCAGACTGATCCCCCAAACGTGAGCTTTTTGCAAGATCAACCAAAACCAGACAGCAACAGGATACCACTAGTGGTGATATACATTTTCCAGCTAAAAACACTGACGCTTATCCGGAGCTCTCCGGCCCATTTTGGATACTGACAAATGCATAGCAGGTCTGGGTGGGCAACCCGTAATGGTATACAGCCAGCCATCTACCTGAAGAGAATTCTAACTGTTAGCAACAGACTGTCTACCAGAGATGCTGCCACAGGAATCAGACCTTGTGGCAAACCGAGACGCCAGCTTTGACTTAAGATTTAAACAAGAAATACCATCAGAGGGCCAAACAACATAATCCAAAATACTAGGACCTCATACACTTGCTCATCCCCCATGTCTTCTTTTGTCTGCAGTGCCCCAGTGAATTCTATATTGGACAAACAGGCCAAACCTGGCACAAAATGGATATCAGAAATAGAAATACCCAGAAACCAGTGGGCTAACACTTCACTCTTCCTGGACACTCGCTCTCTGACTTGCGAGTTGCAGTCCTTGAACAAATAAACTTTTAAGGACAGATTCCAAAGGGAAACAAATAAGCAGGAAGTTCAGCACTCTATCTCTAGGTTCCCTATGTATTTATATACACTGATACAGCCATCGGAGCCTTTGTCATCCATTCAAACCCTAATCATTCAATTGTGATGGCATTAAACAAGACCCGCAGTCTGCTAAAGATCTTATTCATTGAGGACAAATATATCCATTGTCCTTCTCTGACAAACTTTCCCTGCCAGTCGTTTTAAACTTACCCTAGAGATGCAACCTTTGTATTCATCTGAAGAAGTGTCCATGGACACACAAAAGCTCATGAATACTGCACATTTTTTTGAATTTTAATGTTGTATTTTCTTATGGCTTTATATCCTTTCAAAATCTTTAAATATTTGAAATTTGTAAATGGATGCCCAGTGCAATGGATAGAATGACAAATTAGAATTCAGGAGACTACGGTTCAAATTCCTGCTCAGCCATGGAAACTCACTGTTGGCGTGGAACTAGTAAAATCACTCCTTAAATATCTCACTTACCTTGAAAGCCCTGTTAGGGTTGCTATAGGTCAGTTCCGACTTGACACACAACACAGTTCATGATACTCACAAATAAAGACAAGTACATGAATTTTGTAAATGGACAGTTTCAGTTTATACAACTGTGGTTTCCTGCTTGACTTATCCACCTCCGGAGCTCCTGTATCTCTTTGCAGATCTATTCCTGAGATTTGAGAGATGCTTAGGAAAGATGTGGAATATTGTGCAGGGGCTGAGAGTTAGCAGGAATTGCCGTTTTCTCTTCAGAAAATTGAAAAGCAAAGTTTTCTATGTTTCTTTTGAATTGCTGTATGTTTTGCTTTGTGTGTTCATGCAGGGTCCAGTGTTTTTTCTTGAAGATGGAAAATCAGCAATTTCACTTAATGATGCATTGATGTGGGCGAAAGTGAACCCCTTCTCTCCACTGGGGACAGGAATACGGCTCAACCCATTCTAATGAAGGAAAATATTCACTAGTAATTTACTAAAAATTAATATGCTTGTTGCTATTCCTTTATCATTGTTAGCTGAAGGATTTGCAGTTCAGTCCTCTTTGAAGAATAGTTTTATGAACTTGCAAATTGTAATTTTTATATTAAATTTAATAAATCAAAGAGGGTCACATATTGTTAGCACCTATGGGCTTTAAAAATGGATTTCAAATGTGTTTCTGCAAAAAACATGAAACACATAATTAAATTGAAAGGATAGCACAAACTCTGAGGCTTATAACTTGAAACACTTTCATACGTAAGTAACATATGCGTTTTGAACGTGTCTATTGCTGCTTTTAGAACTACCAGCCTGTGATGGGGAGTATAGCCTTCATATTTTAGACGATGTTAGTGTATTTGTCTCCTCTTGGTAGGAACTCAGAGCACAGTCTACCAAATGCTGTTTTGGTGCAAGATCCTTGAAATAAATGGCATTTGTATCGTTGTGCATGGGTTGTGTTCTGATAAATCTAACAAAAGATTAAGTGTAAATTATATGGTTGTATAGTAAATACAGACTATTGGTTAGTAAGGATTTTGGAATACTTAGTTTTACACTTCAATGAGCATAATATCTTTTTCTTATATTTTGAATATACAGGACATTTCTCTTTATTTTAAATAAATATACATATTTCTAAAATTTATTTTCCAACAAATACTATGTAAGTAAATTCTAATTGAATGTACCAGAATACTTGGTGTAAAGTATTTCATTCATCTAATTTTAATTATTGTAAAGAGATGTATACATAAATAAATTTCTGTTAAGTTATATAAAGGGTTTTTATCTTTTTTAAATTATTTTTTTAATCATTGGGATTAAAACTAACTTGGGATAGGGTCTGGGATACAAAAGGTAAAGGGAAGAGGGATTGGGGTTATGAGGAAGAGGAGACACAAAAATATATTAACATCCATTCTATTCACAATATCATCTCGAAATTCCATTTCCGCTTTTCTAAGGGTTTTTACCTTTGAATGTTTCAGTTAAGTTAAACAGAGTTACATATGGCATGTGTTAAAAGTTGTGTCGCACACTGCAAGTGAAATAGGTATCCATGTTGGTCACAAATCAACTTCATTTGGATCTTTTATGGGAAAACTAGTGGTCTCTTCCTAAAATGTTGACCATATGACAATGGAAAGAAAGAAATATTTTTGCATCTTCCATGATCCTTCCACAAGGTATTTTTAGTGAGATTGTTTTGATGTGTGTGCGTTTGTGTGCATACTTGCGTCTTTATGGTTTTAAGAACTGGTTAAGGCATGAATTATTTGAGCACTGTATTAACATTTATTAGCAGTTCTTCTTATCTTTCAGGATATCTTATCCTTGTGACGTTACATAAATTCATGAAACCCACATCCTATGGGCACTTTGCCCCTGGTAAGTCTCTTACATCCTTCAGCTTGTGTTACACTGTGATAAAAGTAAAGAATTTGAATCTCAAAGGTTCAAAGTCTCACTGAGAGTGCTATAATCAAGTCCATCATTTCAAAGTTGCAACAGCTTGCCTCGTTACAATTAAAAGTTGTTGTGGAACCATCAGATATCATTGGCACAAAGTTATTAAGACAAAAAAACAATGTGCACAAGGCATTCTGAAAACAAGTTTCTTGAAACAGGCTACAATACTCCCTGCTGCCTGCTTCTTTTTGAACACCTGTCAGAGGACTTTTTAAACTGCTGCTTCTCCTGGAATCTGCAGTTTGAACACTCTCCAGAGGCCAGAGTGCAAGCTGTAATCTGATTCTGTATAGTGTGTACTCAAATGACAGATTCCCAATACACAGAAGAAATTGGAGGAAATTGTATTTTAAGAAATGAAGAAGTCTTATCTGAAGCTTCACATTTAAGAAGAGCAAGGGGAATGAGTCCCTGAAGTTATTGCACATTGCTTTATTGATTTGTTGGGGCCAGGACATGTCAGAATTGTGCCAAAGAATGCAGCAGGTGCTCATTGAGGAGTTCCATATCCCCTTTAATTTTTCCCCTTCATGTGAACACCACTTCAGACTATGTTAGAGGTAAAAGAACGCTAATGAGTGATGCTACAAAAATCTGCTGGGAACTGTCAGCATGGTTCACTGCAAGTGGATAGGGGAAAATGCCAAATAACATAGCAGTCCCCCATATTAGACATTTGTTGGTATCTGGTACATAAAAAAGGGTGTTACTCCATTATACTTTTTTACTTTATTCACAGACCACATAGCTAAATTATTCCATTAGAAAAAATGCTTAGCAGTAAGACTCAGCTTACCTTCATCAGTGTTATGAGAATCAAGGCAGTACCGAAGAGTACAAGACTGAACAAATGCTGCTGATTATATGTTTTCGTATTACTACAATAGTACATTTCAATAGAGGACAAAAGTATGAAAGACATCAATGGTCTACTTCCTTAACACAAATACTTTTGGATATTCAAATACTATGATCTCATTGTGTCTTACCATCAGTGTTTTATTGAACCTATCTATAAGGAACTGGTTTCTTGGTATTGTATGAAACATGGTCACAAGGATTGTATTATGTTAAAAATAAACTACAATGTCACTGATTAGCTACAGTCCTTTAAAATGGGCACTTGAAGCCTCAACTTTTGCATTCACATCAAAAGGACATCTCTCAGCTTGCTTCACTTGGATGGCTTTAAAGTGAACACCCATTTTGCCTGTGATTTCTGTGGAATCTACAAGCAAAGAGAAAAAAAGTGTTAATATTTTTCAAACTAACAACTGTAGTTATAAAATATGAATAGTAATTTAAGTAGTAAAATATAGTAAGATCTCTTCCATAAAGGAGCTTTATAATAGTGTCAGCCACTGTTGGAATTAAGCTGGTTGGATAACGCCATGACTCAGATATCTGGCTGCAAAGCCAGAGGTTGGGAATTCAGTCACCTCCCGGAAGAAAAGCCAACCTATGTAGCTTTGGGCAAGCTCTACAGTTCCAGAGTGCCCCCAGAAGAAAGGACTGCTAAACTACCTCTGAATACTGTTGTGGCGTTCGCCCTTGTGGCCCCTGTTTGTTTCCCCAAACACAGAGCTCACAAGGTACCTCAGCACGCCCTCCGATACGCTGCCACCAGTTGATCTTTTTTATCAGCCTAATTTATTTAGAAAAGACGAAGGTCCATCCAGTACTGACTTTCCAACAAAACAGGTTTATTAATTGCAGGTGGTTCCTGGAATAATTTATAAGCATATTCTTCAAGATTCATCAATCATCAGTATTAACCTTCTGTATTAATTATCACAAGTTACACTCTAATTACTCCTCAGACCCCCAAACTATCCTTCTCACTCTGATTCCAGACACAGACTCTCTAACTCTCTCTGGCTGCTCTCTCCTCTCAGGCTCCATCTTTTAAATTTCAGCCCCGCCTCTTAACCACATTAACATAACATGAATAATGCATAACTTACAACACATAACTTAGGGTGAACGCTACAACTGTCACCAGAACTGGAAAGAGTCACCAGTACTCATAATCAACTTGACAGCATGCAGTTATGATGACTGTTGCTGGAGTTGCTATGTCATGGAATGTTTAAGAAAGTTAAGTACTTCAGGTCATACTGTCAGGAGTATAAGGCTGACAACAATTACCAGTCATAAGGGACTCCTGTGCCTTCTGGTTTCTTCTGTGGACATTAGGAAGATTCACCAATACCTTCTACACTGTGAAAAACTTTATTTTAAAATGATCTTCCATTACCAGCACAAAGTTACTCAATCGTTTTCCATCTTTTGTCAATGCTAACTGGTGAAAGCCTTCACTAAAACAAAACCAGATGTCTTTTTATAGCATGGAAAGATTGTATCTTAGAAAGTTTCTTCTCTCTTCCTTTACCTTGCAGTGAAGAAGTGGGAAAGAATAGACATTCTTGCTAGGAAACTCTCAGATCCTTCTTCCCCATTACTTATTCTCTGAGTGTTGTCACTTCTGGGAGCTAGCAGCAAAGTGTGCAAGCAAGAAAAGGTGGCAAATCCTCCTCCCTATTTTCTAATATAGATGCACAGAGCAATGTGGGAAGATTAAGTACTCTGTGTCTTCTCTACAGAGATCACAAGCAGCGGCCTCTGGTCCCTTCATTCTCTCTTGCTCATCTCTGAGCAGGCAAAGATTCAGTCCAGTAAATCAAATCCTCCCTGCAGTGCAACCAAGACAGGGTGAGCAAGAGAGACACCTCTAAAGGCTGATGGGAACTGCAGTCCAACAACATCTAGCAAGCCTCAAATTACCCACCACTGCTTAGAAGAAACCAGTATTCTGTTTAATAATCGGAGTATATTAAAGTGGGAGGGGATGTTGTATATTTGGATGAACAAGGCCCGGTATTTATTCAAACATTTAATGTGCAGAAAACTTGCAACCTGATCTTAGCCATGCTTACCTAGAAGTGAGCCCCAATTATTTTAATGGAAGTTATTCTCTAAAGAGTGCTCATTAAAAGTGCCTTGATGATGCAGTTCACTGGAATGCATGTTAATTTAGATACAAAATTTCCTTTGTACAATAGAATTTCTGTGCAAGTATTCTGAGTAGGACTGCAGTCTTTTGAATCAGAAAAAGAATGCTTACTACTTGGAACAGGAACAGCTTTCTCCCTCTGAAGATTAGTTGTACTCAAGGAACGAGCCAAAACAGAAGGACGACGAATGGCACGTGCTCCCAGGGTTGGTTTAATGCCAAACCGCTCTTGGAAACAGGATAATTCACATAAGCAGCAAGCTTACATTGTCCTTTCAAAAAAAGCTGATTGGTATCTTAAATTCAAGACAGACTATAAACCTGTAGATTACTTTCACTTGAATAATCCAGCTCTGGTGGCCTCTAAATATGGACTATAATTCGATAAATAAGCAGGTTTCTATTCCCCAAGATATGGTAAAAAGCTAGCTATTTTTTTAAAAAAATGTATTATAGATTTATATTTATCTCATTTGTATTTGGGAAAGGAAATGTAGGAAATCATTCTCTAAGGTTCATTTACATCCTGCATATGTTTATTCCCCCTATTCTTAAAATAGCTCACTGAAATTACAAACAATCCACAAGCAGCCTAATAACATAAAGCAGCTTAGAAGTAAACAAATGAGAAACAGAAGTAGCAGAAAGCAATAAAAATGGATAAATATTAAGCTGGCCAAGATGAAATACTGTACCTCCCTAAATAAATGCCACAAGAAACAGAATGCAGTGGGAGCTAGTTTGATTTTCCATATAATGGACTTCCACAGCCTGGTTTCTGCTTTTTGGAAAGCTGCCTTCTAACCTTCCCCCAGAAGGACATGAAATGAAGGAGAGGCATATGCCCACTCTGTTTACTCTCACCTCAGGCAGGTGAATGTAGGCAAGTTGACTAACTTGACACTCATTTTTTGGTAAAAAGTAGATGACTACTTACTGCTGGCAGGATTGAAATAACAAGGTTTTATGGTTTCTGCACAATTTTCCCAATTTTTACCATGTCATCTCAATACAGCACTATACAGAATATTGCACATACTGAAAGTCATCTTCTTCTCAGATTCTTTTGAAAGAGACACTTACCTGGATCTTGTTCCCTCTCTAGCAGCCTTCGCTGCATATGCATGCTAATGATGGCTGTAACCTTCTGTCTATTTTTGTTATCATTAGGCTCTATCATTATTTCTGTTAACTTAATATTAGATTTAATAGCTCTGGAAGCAGTTGATCTAGCAACCATTGGTAACTTTTCCTGGTAAATACGATCTGTAAAATCAATCTCTTCATCTTGAATGTGTTTTATTCTGGAAATAGAAAAAAGTTGTACACATTGCATTAATTTTGTTTCAAGTTTAAACCAGAAATAAAAAAAATGATCAGAAATACAAGATTCATTTTCGTTGCAATTAGTACAGCACTGCATATGAGGAAATTACATTATGTAGCTCAGTTCTCGGGATGCCTGAAGAACTGTGTTCCAATAATGGAATGGACTACTAAAGTTAAGAAATGACACACAGAAAGTCATGCAGTTCTATCTCACTAAATTCCAGAAAAGAAGGGTGCTAGAGAGAGGTGAATGGTCCCAGGATTCTCTTACAAAGAAATATTTCAGCTTCATTACACTTTCTTTCCATCTTCTCCGTGACATACCACCAGCAAATCTGTCCAACTCCTTATATGCCCACAAAAATGAAAAGGAAGCAATGATACAATGGTTATCAATAGCTAACTCTTGTTTTTTTAGTGTCAAATAAAGTTTTCCTCCCAGTTTTATTACTGTAGCTGCTCATCAACGACTGCAATCGAATGATCAAAGCTGTGGCCACTGTTAAGAGCGCAGAACTCCATTACAATTTCATACATAATAAAGTATTTCACAGGAAGTCATTCTCTTAGCAATGCAAAGATGTGTTTCCCTTGAAAAGCTACTATGCAAACACTTAACCTAAACTTCCATTTGCCATTGGACTGCAGCCCTGAAGGACACTAGTGACAGGCTAGGGAACACAGTACTTAATATATCCATGGTTGCTGATCAGAGCCATCTCCTGGAACAAAGTCACTTGAACAGCTTTTCAAATGATGACTTTGGCAGGCTGAAAATGGAATACTTTACATCCCCTCTATGCAACATGGCTACCCCTGTAGAAGTGCCCACTGAACACAATAACACCCAAGATGAGTATCTAACAAAGCTCCCTATCTTCGATGAGAGTATAGCTAAGAAATTACAGGGACCAAAGCTGGCTACACACAATAACTCTCAGTGTAATCAAGCTCCAACCCTACCAGAAGGAGGCACTCACTTCCCTCAAAATATTATCTTGGAAATAAGGGACTCAGTAAAGGGTATAAAAGACCTGCTGGGCTGTTTGGTTGATTTAATGAAGGAAAGGGTTATTCCACACATAAATGACCCTATTGGACACAGTGGAAAACCAAATGCCTCCTTGTGGGCAGAAGCTGATGAAAACTTCAATTTATCATCTAATACCATCCAGAAAATTGCTAACCTCTCCTATGAAGAGTTACTTTCTTGCGTTACACAGACAAATCAGGGACGGTCCTTGCCTCCTAGGCCAGACTTAGATGAAGTGAATGAAACCTTAATACCTCAAATCATCATCAAAGAGTCTATACCAAACATACCCATAATAAGTACTAGAAAGGAACAGGTGAAGCCCAAAGCCAAAAAGAAAGACAAAGCCTCAAAAAACCAAAGA